AAAAAAAAAAAAAAAAAAAAAAAAAAAAAAAAAAAAAAAAGGTGACTGGCCAGTATGGGAATCCGAGTCCTTGACTTAGCCCTATATATTAAACAGTGGAGGACTGGCTAGTTAGTTGATTTAGAGCATGGTGCTGATAACACCAAGGTCTATGGTTCAATCCCTGTGCCGGCCAACCCTCCCCTCCCCCATAAAACTACTACCGAAAAACTCCAGTTAGGTGTCATTTTAGCATTTTGTCCTCAGACAAACTCTTCTTTAGACCTGTAAGTCCTTTTATATTCTGTATCTGAAAGAAGGTACCGCCATCTACCTGGTTCCTTAAAACCTGAAAATTACCCATGACTCCTACTTCCTATTAGGAGTCACTAAATTCCATCTGTTTTACTACCTTACTATATTAGGAATACGTCCACTTCCTTCCATTGCCAGACCTAATGATTAGTTCCAAATTCTATAATTCTTGCCTGGGTTATTGAAGCAGCCCCCTAACTGGTCATTTAACCTCCAGTCTTATCTTTCTCTGCCCCTAAGTCTATACTGAGCTCCTTGGGTGCTCTCCTAGCCCCTATGCATATCTCTAACATTATACTCATCATATTGTGTTTAATCTTATGCTTGCTTCTTTGTATCATCCTCTGTACCATAACTTATTTTAAGAGTAGTGTATTAGTCTATTTTCTGTTACTTATAACAGAATACCTGAAACTGGGTAATTTATAAGAAAATGAAATTTATTTCTTATACTTCAGGAGGCTGGGAAGTCCAAGTTCCATGGGGCACATCTGATGAGGGCTTTCTTTTTGGTGGGGACTTTCTACAGAGTACCGTGGAGATGCACAGCATCACAAAATGAGGACTGAGCAAGAGCGCTTGTTAATGAGCTCACTTGCTGTCCTTATAAAGCCAGCAGTTCATACCCATGATAACCCATTAAATGATTAACCCATTGCTCCATGAATGGATTAATCCATTCATGACAGCATAGTCTTCACAATCCAATTACCTCTTAAAGGCCCCACCTTTCAACACTGCCACATTGGGAATCAGCCTCCCACATGCGCTTTGGAGTGGATACACATTCAGACCACAGCAAGTGGGGACCATCTTCTAATAATTTTTGTATCCCTAGCACCATGCATGACTGTAATTCGATATTCATTAATGGTTTGTGGAATGAATGAATTAATTAATTAATATCAAGAATGCAGTAAAAAAAGAAAAAACAAAAAACAGTGTTTTGGGAGGCCTAAAGATAGAACAATGAATTCTAACTGGGAGTTTGGAAGGGATTGGAAGGTTTCTAACAAGGAATTTGGAAGGGCCTTTTAATTCAGGTGTTTAATTAAGCCTGAGTAGAATTTTCAGTGGGAGAATAGATACAATTTTAGATACAGAGGAAACTAAAAGTTCAGAGCTTCTTTTGAGAACTATTTGGAGCACAAAGTTCTGCAGGGGTAGGATGGTAGGTGAAAAGGTAAATTGAGTGAGATCGTTGAAAGTCTTATGTACCATGCTAAGGGGATCTGCCCGCATTCTCTGAACAAAATGAAACTAAAGTTTTTGAGTAAGGATGAGATGCTCAAAATTTGATTTTAGAAAGCTGTCCCAGGCAACAGAATAGTGTGGAATTTGGGGATGAGGGAAATTAACTAGTCCAATGTAGCAGTCTAGGCAAGAAATGATGAGGACTTCTACTAGGAAAGTAAGCGTAGGAAGTGGCAGATTTCTGATATTTGCTGGTCGAATTTGAGCTGTGAGAGAAAGGAAGAAGTAGATATTACAAGATTTTAATGAGAGGTATGGAATTTTGGGGAACACATGGGAGTCTGAGAGATTGGTTAGATGAAGAGACCATGAATCAAAGATATGGAACTGGGAAAGGAAAAATTTGGAGATTATTTTATTTAAATGAGCACTGTTTTAGACTGATCCGGTATGAGGTTAGCAAAATCTCCATGTAGGGATATGATGTATGCAATTAAAAGTAGGCTATAAGGTTCATGAAAGAGCTTTGAGGTAGTATATTAGTCTGTTTGGGCCAAGCACTGTTTTAGACTGATCCGGTATGAGGTTAGCAAAATCTCCATGTAGGGATATGATGTAGGCAATTAAAAGTAGGCTATAAGGTTCATGAAAGAGCTTTGAGGTAGTATATTAGTCTGTTTGGGCCACTATAACAAAATACCTTAAACTAGATAATTTATAAACAACAGAATTTATTGTTCATGGTTCTGAAGGCTGGGAATGCCAAGATCAAGCGTCCAGCAGATTCGGTGTCTGGTGAGGGCTCTTTGCTTCATAGAGGGTGCCTTCTTGCATCCTGACTTGGCAGAGGAAGGGGCAAAGGGCTAACAAGCTCCCTCAGGCCTCTTCTATAAGGGCATTAATTCCATTCATAAAGGTTCCACCATCATGACCTAATAGCCTCCCAAAGCCCCCCCCCAATACCATCACCTTATGAGTTAGGTTTCAATGTATGAATTTTGGTGAGACACATACATTCAGATCAGAGCAGGCAGTGATAGAGATTTGTGAGTCGTTTAAAGAAAAGTGAGTGTTGAAGCCATGGCAACTGATAAAGAAGTCAGATGGGATGTTCCTTTATGGGGCATTCTGATGCAGCAAGTGGTAGGAGTCAAAGAGTTAGCTGTTTCTCAGTTTTGCCCTTGGATAACCACTTATGCCATTCAAAGTCACCTTTTGTGTCCCTTGTACTACAAGTTGCTTACCCAAAAACAGAAAAAGAAATGATATTTGGATAAGCTCATAGTGAGGAACTTGCAAAATATATTTGCAGAACTTTTGCAGAATCATATGATGGTGTATTGTACCCCAATAAATTTCACATGTTAAAGGAAGTCCTGAATTAAATTTTTAGTTGTCTTTATATTATACAGTAGTGTTTGACAAAGTGTGGTTAGAGGACCACTTGCAACAGAATTATCGCATGTGCTCATAAAATTTGAGAAAGAATCTGAATCTTTGGGAGTGAGGCCTGAGTACTTTATTATTACTAAACTCCTTTTATGCCCTAAAGTTTGAAAATCACTGATATATATAATGAAATTGCCACTTTATTAAGTTTAATAACCAGGATCCTTTAGAGATCGCCATTGAAATGTCAAAGAACAAAGGAGGCACTACTTTCCATTTGTAACCTAGAAAATGCTCATTTAAATTACCTTTCTTTCAGTTGAGTGTGCGAGGAAAAAATAAAAAAGAGAAACTTGAAGATTTCTTTAAAAACATGGTTAAATCAGCAGATGGAGTAATTGTTTCAGGAGTAAAGGTAAGATTTTATTTGTTTTGCAGTAGTATTGGTTGAGAATTTACTTTTTTTTTAAAAGAGAGATGGATTGAGATTTCAAATGTACAGAACTAGGGCTGGACAGTTAGCTGAGTTGATTAGAGCACAGTGTTACAACACAAGGCCAGTGGTTTGGATCCCCGTACCAGCCAGCTGCCAAAAAAACAAAACAAAAATGTACAGACTTGGAGTAAAAGAAGTTTGGATAGTAGAATCCTTAGGCCTGGGAGAGTGTGCCCCCTGTGCTGGATTCCTCTCTTTAGAGAGCTCCCTCTCTAAGGGGTGAGAAGTCAGCAGTCCAAGGGAATTTGTCCACCTGGAGCCCATGCTCCTTCGCTCCAAACCAGACCATATTTCAAGTATCTAGAACCCCACATTTCCCTGCCCAAATCCTAGGCCTTCTTCCAGGTCCTGTGTGGGCGTCTTCCCTGAATTCATTCTTCAGAGGATAGAGAGCCAGTCGTGCACTCCGTGGGTGGTCGAGAGGGGCTGCCCCTGTTTGTACACTTACCCTTAGCTTAACCTTGCAAATGTTAGCGACAGACCTGGGTTCAGATTTGGAGTTAGAAAATCTCAGTTGAGGGCCGGCCCAGTGGCGCACTTGGTAGAGGGCGGCGCTTGGGAGCGCAGCGGCGCTCCTGCTGAGGGTTTGGATCCCATATAGAGACTGGTCCGCTTACTGGTTGAGTGCGGTGCGGGCGCGACACCGAGGGTTGTGATCCCATTGCCGGTTGCGGTACAGGCGCGACACTGAGGGTTGCGATCCCGTTACCGGTCACGAAAAAAAGACAAAAAAAAGGGAAAAAAAAAGAAAATCTCAGTTTAGGTGTTGTAGTATCTTGAGGTAGCTACACGACCACAGGAAAAGTCACTTTTTTTCTATGAATCTCAGTGTTGCCATTTTCAAAATGGGGTTAACAATACTACCTAGTTCACAGGATTTTTGGAAAGACTGAATAAGATAATATGTGTGAAAATACTTAGAAAGTTAATTATTTACTTAAATAAAACCTATATTTTTCTTGATGATGTTCTAAAAATGGCACAAAATTTTATTTATGTGAAGACTCTTACCATTAAAATATGAGAAAAATGTTTATATTACACTCTCAAACACAAAAACAGAGATAAATAATGCTGCTTTGTCATCCTTGCCTCTTTTTATAAATACGTCTACGATAAAACTTGAGTACAGAGTACTGCTTATTTGATTTGTACTTTGATTTGTCAGAGACAAGTCCATTCATATGTTGACAATGCATGTGCTGTGGTGCTGCTTATATATTACTGTTAAACATTTTTCTTAGCCATTAAATGTAAATCACTATGTTGATTATGATTTTGATAATTTTATTAGTAAAGTAATAACTAACATATTAAAACATTTATAAAATGTGTTGATTGGTAGACCACCAATTTTCTTATTTAATCTTTACTACAAACTTCCAAGTTTGATAGTTTTATCCCCATTTTTACAGTTCAAAAAACTGGTACATAGGAATTACAGATTTTTTAATGACATTTTGCCAGTTCTAACTCTTGCAGCTTGTGTTCTGTGAATGTGGGTCTCAGTACATCATGTCAACTGATGCTTTTTCTTTTTCTTTTTTTTGGCAGCTGGCCGGTAAGGGGATCTGAACCCTTGACTTTGGTGTTATCAGCACCACACTCTAACCAAATGAGCTAACCGGCCAGCCCTCAACTGATGCTTTTTCAATGAATCATTGCTAGTTCCGAAGGGGGAAAGTACCATTAATACTTTTTACTTTTAATGTATGTCTAGCTTTGTTTCAAAAAAAGATTGAAGAAAGTGATCAATTATATTGTTGCTTTCAGATTAGCTAGTTTGGCCAGGTTCTCCAGAGCAGTCAGACAGGGCACTAATGACTAAGGCCAGGCAGCGTTCAGGAATCGTCTACAGAATACATAATAGACAAAGAAAAATAGATTTTTCATTTCTGTTTACCAGAATTTTTTTTCCCAAAAGTAATTGGTTACTCCCATTAGCAATAGTAATGTTTTTATTGGAGAGGCAAGATTGTAGAGGCAGAACATAAGTAGGAACATGTTTCAGAGTACAACATGTGAACATGAACCATATGGGGAGCTCTAAGCCTTCAACTATAAAACCATAGGTTTCTTTTTTTTTTTTCTCTTGGCTGGTCAGTATGGGGATCTGAATGCTTGCTTTGGTGTTTTCAACACCATGCTCTAACCAACTGAGCTAACAAGCCAGGCCCTTAGGAGATTTCTTACTTGATAGATAGAAATGAATGTCTACTAAAGTCTTAACTTGTTGGTGAAGTCATTATAACATCTGATTATTAGAAGATAGCTGTGCTGTTTTACTGATAGTCTTATATATTAATGATAACAAAGTGATTTACATATTAAACTAAAGCAAATAAGTTTAAAAAGTTCTTTTTTTTTTATTCTATAGGATGTAGATGATTTCTTTGAGCATGAGCGAACATTCCTTTTAGAGTACCATAACCGAGTGAAGGATGCATCTGCTAAATCTGATAGGATGACAAGATCCCACAAAAGTAAGATATTTCTGTGGCTAAAGCTTACTTTTTTAATGGAATAATTATAAAGTTGACATGTTATTTACAGTTTGTAAAGATCTTGATATAGAACAGTGGTTCTCAAATTGTGGTCTATGAAGCCTAGACCCCAAGAACCTTTGAAAGTGAGTCTGCAAGGTCAAAATTATTTTCATAATAATACTGTGATACTTTTTGCCTTTTTTCACCTTGTTGACAATTTACATTATGATACAAAAAAAAGTTGGATAAAACTGTATTAATAATCATTGTATTCTTTCCTGCCATACATTGCAATTTTTAAAAATGTGACTTTCACTTAAGAATGTCCTCAACAATCCACCTCCCCGCAGCCCAGCCTAGAGTAGATGGGCCAGGCATCCCTAGGGCAGAGGCATTTAAGGAGGGAGCCTCACCTGGGCATTACTAGCCTCACATTTAAAGAAAACTAATTTTTTGGCACCTCTTAAACTTTCTCAGAAATGTTTGGGGTTTTTTTGGCTGCTGGCAGGTATGGGGATCCGTAACCCTTGACCTTGGTATTTTAACACTGTGCTCTAACCAACTGAGCTAACCAGCCAGCCAGCAATGTATATTTTGATCTTTGCATTTCCAAAACCTAAGCTAACCAGCCAGCACCAAGCTTTGTGTTTGTAACTGTGGAGTGAAAGGCTGTCTCAGTTTGGCTAAGTAAAGACTAATGAGTCATTGGTGTTTACACTTATCCTGAACTACTGTAATGTGCAACTTTGGTTCAGTCTCTCTTTTTCCCTCTACAATACACACACATATACACTCATTCATTGATTCATTCAACAAAAATTTGCTGAGGACCTATTATGTGCCAGACACTGTTCTAAGTGCTGGAAATAGAAGTGACAAAGTTCTTGCCGTCATGGAATTTATATGGTGGAGAAGACCCCAGGAGTCTGTGTTCTTCACAAGCTCCCCAGAGATCATCTGCACATTAGTTGTGAGACTCTTTGTTGCAAAAGGATATTTAAGAACAAGGAGGGGGCTGGCTGGTAGCTCAGTTGGTTAGAGCGCAGTCACCCTAAAAAAAAAAAAAAAAGAACAAGGAGGAAAATTCACACTGAATCAGGAAAGCAGGACCTGAAAACTTTGTCACCTTCTGTCTGGTTCATTTAGGAAATTGACTTATTGCAGCGTCTTATTCAGTGGGAATTTTAAAAAAGTTTGTAAAATGAACATGTTAAAGCCTGATAAGCCAAACCCATCAGGAACAAATCTTGGTCTGACAAAATCAGAATTGTTAACTCTCAGTGATGGAGGGAATTCCAAAGGAATCTTAGAATGCTGCTCCCAAGAAGAGGGAGGGAAGCCTCTTTTGTAAGGTTTGGGTTGTGGCTGAAGGATTTTGAAGAGGGTCTCAGGGGAGTGGGGATCAGTTCTGGACTGGTTGCTGGTTCTGAGTAGAATTAGGAGACCACGGATTGAGTGCTGTTATGAGGCAAGGATAGCTTAGCAATTGGGTATCCCCAGTAATAAATTAAAATAGCAAAGCAAGTCTAGAACACCATTGGCTGCTTTTTTTCTCTTTTCAGGTCAAACTCATTTTCACTTTCAGGTCTGGGCAGGTTTTGACTCTCAAATAAATTTGTTTCTTTCTTTCTTTTTTTTTTTTTTAAAGATGACCGGTAAGGGGATCTTAACCCTTGACTTGGTGTTGTCAGCACCACGCTCAGCCAGTGAGCGAACCGGCCATCCCTATGTGGGATCCGAACCCGGGGCCTTGGTGTTATTAGCACCGCACTCTACCGAGTGAGCCACGGGCCGGCCCAAAATAATGATTTTAATACTATTAATTTTAAATGAATTAGTAAATATTAAAAATTTTTGTTTTACTTTTCAAAAAAATACAGTAAATATATTAATGGATATAACCCACTTAAACAAAATCTCTACAGTTCTCAGTAATTTTTAAGTTGTAAAGGGGCCTAAGACCAAAAAGTTTGAGAACCTCTAATGTCGAGATAAATCAGTAGATGCTCCACCTAGAAGTATTAACTTCCATTGAGGTATTATTACGTGCTATAACAGAAAGGAATAAATAAAAGGAGTCTCTAGTTTGCTAACTTCTGTTCTTGTGTAATTCTTTTGAGAGGGTTAAAAGGAGGAAATGAATAATTTCTAACAATCAGATAGAGAATGCCTAATAATGGCATATCATAAAACCAAATGTTTCCAATGCTTTGTATCTCAAATAAATAAATTTACTTTTATCTTTTTTTTTTTTTTTTTTTAAAGATGACCGGTAAGGGGATCTTAACCCTTGACTTGGTGTTGTCAGCACCACGCTCAGCCAGTGAGCGAACCGGCCATCCCTATGTGGGATCCGAACCCGGGGCCTTGGTGTTATTAGCACCGCACTCTACCGAGTGACCCACGGGCCGGCCCTAAAAGTTATTTTTATATTTTATTTTATTATACCTTTGTGATTTGCAGGTTTCTTCTAATTTAGTAGTAGATTATACTTGCCTGTTCCATAATTAAGAACTATAAAGTAAAAGTGTGGGAAACTTGAATTTCTTCCTAGATTCATTACTTATTTGCTTTGGAGACCTGGGCAAGTCACATAATTGGTCTTTTGTTGGTTTCCTTGTTTATAAAATGACTTTAAGGATAAAATATCTCATACGTTATTTTTGTACTTTTAATCCTCTGTTAAAAACTTTATAAATATAAAATGGTACATACCTGTGTTGATTGTAATTATTAGGAATTACTGTTCACTGGAATGCCCTTAAATTTAGATTGGTGTTTTAAAATAGAATACTACTATACTTTTTCGATTTCTTTAAAAATTTAGTTCATAAACATTGGCATATCTGTTGTGTGCCCACTGTTGTGTTAGGTATTGGTGACTTCAAGATGAAGAAATACTTACATAGCTTTTGCCCTTAAGGAGTTAATAGCAAGGGCTGACCAGTTAGCTCAGTTGGTTAGAGTACAGTGTTATAACACCAAAGTCAAGGTCAAGGGTTCAGATCCCTGTACAGGCCAGTCACACACACACACACGAAGTATTTGCAGGCAAGATAAACACAAAAAGCAAAAAGAATACAGTATGTTTATAAGTCTTACCCCAAGGTTCAGAGTTTGACCCCTTTACCAGGTAGCAGAAAAAAAAAAAAGATTAAAATATATATCTTTATAGAGGTATGTATTAGTGCTATGCAAACATAGAGAACTACAGAGATAGAGAATCATATGTTAAGAAAAGTGAAGAAATTATTAGTGATTCCTAATAATTCTATTTATTTGGCCAAATGGAATAGTACTTTAAGAGAGATGATAGTGAACCTATATCATAAAATAATTATATGAAGTAAAACTATTTATTCATAATAAATGAACTTAGCCTGGACTATGAAAAATTATGCTTTTCAATATCATTTTGAGTTCTGATGTATAAAATCAGGGCAATTTGCATATTTTCTATGATCACATAATGATGTAATAGTTATAGATGGTAGTGTTCTCCGAGTCAGATATTAGAATTCAGGTTAGTTCTTGCTCTAAAAAATAATTTCAGGATCAATTTAAGCATAAAATATTAATGTATTTGATATTGAACACAAAAATTGTTTTTGATTCCTGCTTCTCAGTAAACTAAACTTTAAGTGATTTTTAAGTACTTTTTTTTTTTAATTAAACTTTTAGGTTAAGATAATAGTGAAGAATCTCAAGTATAGAAGTTATTCAGAGTCTGAAGTTTATACTCAAAATTTCTTTATAAAAAGATATCAGATCAGATTAGCTTTAAATAACACATAAATAGTCACCATATTCCAGCCTTATCAGTTGAATGTAATTTTGTGCAACATAAGTATAATATAAGGATTACTATTTGTTAGGGAATAAACACTTGTAAAAATACTACTTGTGTAAGGAATTTTCATACAAAGTGCCTTGGACTTCATTAATAATAGCAAACATTTACGTAGTACTGTACTATGTGCCAGATAATAGTAATATTTATTAACTCATTTAATCCTCCAAGTAATTATGTGAGGTGATTATCATTATTATCCCCATTTCCAGATGAAGAAATCGAGGCACAGTTTAAGTGACATGCCCAAGGTCATATGTCATACAGCTTGTTAAGTTGGGATGCTAGGATTGGACCCCAGGTGACCTGGTTCCAAGTTCATGCTCTTGACCATTGCTGTGTGCTGTTCCTTTTCTGAAACCAAGAGAAGCATCTATTATAATCTTTTCTTAACAAGTGTGTTGCCTGTGGGGTGAGCCCTGGGAAGAGTGTTGTTCTTAAGTTGGGTACCTTGCTTTCTAGGTGCCACCGTTCATCTAGCTTCCCAAACTCTATAATTTCCCTTCTTACCTCAGCTCTACTGTTTCTAAATCCTACTTGTTACATTTCCTAAATTAATTTCAGCTTTGTCAGCTCCACTCTGTTCCTACTATTCCTACTATCTGGATCCTGACCCTCATTATCCATTACCAGAGTATTGCAACAGTTTTCCTGACTGGTCACCCTGCCTTCTGTGTCTGTCCACTTCTAGTCCGAACTCCAGGCAGCAAAATTTTTTATCTGAAATCTTTCTTGGGTTGATTTTACCACTGTGTTTTAAAATGTTTAGTAAAACCCATTCCCACAAGATCAAATCCAGACTCTCTTAGCTTACCAGACTTATTTTCCCAAAGTGCTTTGAGTTTTTCCATCTTTAGCTGCATCTACTCCCCTTTGTTCCCTGTAGTACTGTAGTCCCATGAGGCTCTCTGCATATATTGTGCTCCTCTGTCTCTCCCTGGCCCTTACTCATGGCGTTCCCTTTATCCAAAATGCTCTCCCTTTGCCTGATAAACATTTGCTCATCCTACAAGCTCCAACTCATTCTGTAGTTTCTGTAAATCCTTCCCTGAATGACTCAGGTAGAATCATGTTTCCCTTGCTCTCAAAGCAGTTTTTACCTATATCTAATATAATATTCATTATGTTGTATTATGGTTGTTTGTGTTGTTTACTAGACTTTGGGTAGCTCATATTATACATTGTTAGTTGTTAGGTAGGTGCTCAGTAAGTATTTTTGAATCAATGAATAAATATATTAAATTCTTAAAACTTTCTCCATAGGTGCTGCAGACGATTACAATAGAATTGGTTCTTCATTATATGCTTTAGGAACTCAGGATTCTACAGATATATGCAAGTAAGGATTCTAATTAAAAACATTAAAGCAGAGAAAAATTTCTTTTGGCAGCCTGGGCACACACAGTATTTCTAATTCAGGCAGGCATTTTAGAATATTTTTGTCAAAACACATTGAAAGGAGCTTCATAAATTTGGGTCAATGTCATTTTTTTCTCCTCCTTTCTCATTTTTTAAATCTGAGAAATAAAAATAGACTTTAAATATATAATTTTAATATTTACAATGTGTTATTTGATGAAAGTGAGCTGATTTGTGTGTGTGTGTATAAGATTGAGAGGAAGAGATGGAGAGAGAGAATTTATGTCAGAGTGTTCTTAGGTTTTGATACAGTTTATCATAAATAAGAAATGCTATTTTGTAATTTAAAAATATATATGTATATTTGTTATTTCATTAGAGGCCAAATTGACTTTTCAAGTGAAATTTGATGCTATCAGTTCTCACTTTTTATTTAAAGAGATTGGCTATTCTAGATTTTTTTTTTTTTTTTTTGGCGGCTGGCTGGTACATTGATCTGAACCCTCGACCCTGGTTTTATCAGCACCACACTCTAACCAATTGAGCTAACCGACCAGCCCTCTATTCTAGATTTTATAGTTTAGTGAACCTTAGGGCAATCTTAGGGTGACCCAACAGAGAAGGTGTTGTGCATGTTAGTGTAGAAAAAGCTCTCTAGAAGTTTGCTTACACAGCTGTTCTTTATTTACTTTATGCTAGTTTTTTTCACTTTAATTTTAATTTAACTGTAGTTAATTTTAGTTGCTCTTATTATGTTGTTTAAACTTAATTCTATTGAAAAATAATTCAAACATTTTAAAGTAATTTTTAGGTGGGAAAACTGTTTTCATAGTTTATGCCTTTCTTCAAACCACATCCTTGAACTTTTCTTTAGTATATCCTGTTTCAGTAGATATTTATTTATTTATTTATTTAAAGATGACTGGTAAGGGGATCTTAACCCTTGACTTGGTGTTGTAAGCACCACGCTCACCCAGTGAGCCAACCAGCCATCCCTATATGGGATCCGAACCCGGGGCCTTGGTGTTATCAGCACCACACTCTCCCAAGTGAGCCACGGGCCGGCCCCGTGTTTCAGTAGATATTTAAAAGTCAGCTTTTCAGCAAAGCAAGATACCATACCTTACACTAATTAATCTGCTACCTTCCCAGAGAGTTACTTAAGTCTTTGATAAGAAGAAAAAAATCATCCTTGCCATGTGTTATCTAACATAAACCTGTCAAAGCAAGTTCTTTTCAGTAAAGCAAAGTTCATAAAATTGTGTTTTTGCTTTCAGTAGTTTTTGCCCTAATTCAATTATAATGTCCATCTGTAGTTATTTTAGAGTACCCTGTGATGATTTGGTGTTGGGATCCTTTTTATTTGTATCAACATTTGACAGGCTATTTAGTTCAAAGTGAAGATGAATCCTAAGATAGAAATTGGTTATTAATTTCTGTTGTCTTTCAGAACAAAGCAACTATGTTTGGAAATGTTTAAAACCTAACTGTCAGGGGCCGGCCCGGTGGCGCACTGGAGAGTGCGCCGCTCTCGCCGAGGGTTCAGATCCCATGTGGAGACCGGTTCCCACTCACTGGCTGAGTGCGGTGTGGACGCAACACCGAGGGTTGCGATCCCGTTGCCGGTCCCCGGTACGGACGCGACACCGAGGGTTGCGATCCCGTTACCGGTCAGTAAAAAAGACAAAAAAATGGAAAAAAAAAAAAAATAACTGTCAGGACTGGCTGGTTAGCTCAGTTGGTTAGAGTGAGGTGTTATAACACCAAGGTCAAGGGTTTGGATCCCCGTACCAGCCAGCCACCAAAACAACAACAGAAACGTAACTATCAGATAACTAAGAATTGCTCCAACTTTGGTGTTTTCCTTTAAATCAGCCTTTTGTCTCTTTTGATGTGATTGCTCTGTATTTCTGTAATAATTTCGAAGGTGTAGACATTATTTAGTATTGTGTGGCATATGACTAAAGAACATCAAGATAAATTTTAAGTTTCATGAAGAGATGCTTAGACTGTAATCTTGAAATAAAATGGGCAGATATTCTGTAACGACAGATTTCAAGTAATCAGTTATGGTTGGAAGTACGGGGAGATTTTTGTTGAAGTAAATGAAGTCTGCAGTTACAAGACCATTGAATGTTACTGTAATGAGACTAAAATGCTCATTATTAATATGGTTTGGAGGCATAGTCTCTGAACATTTGAAATGGAAAATTATTTCCAATGTAGCTTCTGATGAAAATATTTTTCCCTTCCAGGTTTTTTCTCAAAGTTTCAGAATTGTTTGATAAAACAAGAGTAAGTACTAAATTCTAGAGATCTTTTGAACAACATTGTGCCAGTAGTTAACAATACTGTATTGTACAACTTAAAAATGTTACCACAATGAAAATTGTTTTAAATGAGTAATTACTGTTAATTAACCTTTGAGGATCTAAATCTCCACGTACAGTAATATTTAACTTCTTGTTACTGTGTTTAATTTTACTGAGGAAGATGGCTATTCTCAGAAGGATGATGAGGCAGATTTGAATTCCATTGAGAATTTTTCAGGAAATTTAATTTTTATGGACTTTTGGTATTTGTGTAAAAGTTCATATATCTTATTTATTATGGAAACTTTATTTTTATGAAGAATGATCCTTTTCTGGGGCTTTGTAAACCATAAGAAAGTCTTAGATTCGTTTATAACTTTACCAAGACTGTATTGCTTTTGATCCCCCATGACATGCTGGTGTAAAAGAGAGTAGTGTTGGGCTGGCGGTTACTCAGTTGGTTAAAGCATGGTGCTGATAACACTAAGGTTCAGGGTTCAATTCCTGTACCAGCCAGCTGCCCCCCCCCAAAAAAAAAAGAGAGAGTAGTGTCAATATGAGACAGATGCACAACTGTGGAAAGGTTGCACACGTGGTAGTAGTAATTTAATTTTGACATAATTGTGATTTTTCAAGGATCAGCCCTAGATACAATAATACGAGGATACTTCAAAAAATTCATGGAAAACTAGCATCAAAAGATATGAATCTTGGGCCGGCCTGGTGGCGCACTCGGTAGAGTGCGGCGCTTGGGAGCGTGGAGGTGCTCCCGCTTAGGGTTCGGATCCCATATAGAGACCGGTCCGCTCACTGGTTGAGCGCGGTGCAGGCGCGACACCGAGGGTTGTGCTCCCGTTGCCGGTCGCGGTACGGGCGCGACACCGAGGGTTGCGATCCCGTTACCGGTCATGAAAAAAAGACAAAAAGGAAAAAAAAAATAGATATGAATCTTTCCATGAACTTTTTGAAGTACCCTCGTATTTAATATTTTTGTCAGTTGATATAGTAGTGGAAATGTTTGTTAAATATTTAATGGTACTTAGCTGAGAGTGGCGGTGGCTAGTCTAGTGTAGAAATCTGATTTCATCATGACCTTGTCAATTGAGTGATGTTTAGTGGAGACAAGAAAAAAAAGATATTCTCCCACTAAGGAAAAATACATAAGTGTTATTATACTGAGGTCCAGAGAGCCCATTATTCTGCCTTTGATATTTGTATCAGTGAGCATTTTTTGGAAAAATATAGTTGTTTTTCTGTGCATATACATCAAAGGAATAGGAACCTATCACAAAATAGCCTTATGTCAATTCAGGTCCTCTGAGAAGCAGACGTCAAAATAGAATTAGATGTGCAAGAGATTGATTGTCAAGAACAAAGAGGGAGGAGGAGGGGTAAGCAGGAAGAGGCCTCAGACTGCAGGGCAGGTCTGACCACCTGTAAAGGAGAGGGCAGAGGAAGGAGAAATGGGCAGGAAAAGTCTCAGACGGTAGCTCAGTTCTAAGAACATTTCAGGCAGGTCAAGTCAGTCCCCACCCAAGTCAGAGTTGCTCATTAGAGGAATGCCACATAAGGTAAGAAAGGGCTGGCATTCCTGTCCCTGTGTTTTGTCACTGGCTGGTTGCAATCAAGGTGGCAGAGTGGGTGGGGAGGCCCTGGAGGGTTGGCGCATAGCCAATACTATTGTCAATGATTCCCCTTAATGTTATCAAATATTCGATATACAGATTTTCCCAATTGTCTGATAAATGGCTTTTTACAGTGTAATTTGAGTCAGGGTTCAAACAAGTTCCCTATTGCATTTGATTGATGTGATACATCTATCTTTATCCTGTCTCTCCATACTGAAAAGGTCTCATCTTTTCAGTCTGCCATGGCTACTTCCCATTCCATCCCATCTTGAACTTACCTCATCGGTGACTCTTTGTTGTCTTCAAGCACATTTTATTAAAGCTTTGACTAGGTTTTCTAGTTGTCCTCAGTGAAAGCATTGGTTTGAATTGCCTGGTCTACCATCGCTAGCCTTTATTACTTTAAAAGCATATACAATTGCCATTGAAATCAACAGAGAGAAAATACAAATGAAAGCTGGAAGATGATATTGAAACTTGTTATAGCCAAGTAATTGAATCAAATGTAGAGTGTTTCCATAAATTCACTAATTTCATTGATCTAATCTTTTTTTCTATTCATTTTTTGTCAGACTTGCAAAGAAAAGTAACAGGCTAGTAGGAAGTAAAAGGGAAGGAAACCTACATAAGATAGGAATGGATACTGTGGTTACTTATAAATTTAATTTTTTACAGTATTTATTAAAGAAAGTACAGAATGTGACTGCTGATTTAAATACCCAATTTTTTCCCCTTTTTCAGAAAATAGAAGCACGAGTGTCTGCTGATGAGGACCTCAAACTTTCTGACCTTTTAAAATATTACTTAAGAGAATCTCAAGCAGCTAAGGTAACTTCATTGTTCATTGTTTCTTTAAATGAGCTATTTTATTTTACAAAAAGCCATTTCTTTCTTTTTTTTTTTTTTTTAAAGATGACCGGTAAGGGGATCTTCACCCTTGACTTGGTGTTGTCAGCACCACGCTCACCCAGTGAGCGAACCGGCCATCCCTATATGGGATCCGAACCCGTGGCCTTGGTGTTATCAGCACCGCACTCTCTCGAGTGAGCCACGGGCCGGCCCACAAAAAGCCATTTCTTTAGAGATTGTTAGACTTAAGATTGTTAAAGATTATTTATCTCCCGGTTGTAAATTATTATGTTTTCAAGTGTGGTTTTTTTTTTTGTTTTTTTTTTCCTTTTAGAAATTGTAGATCAGGGAACCCCACATAAAAGTTTCCTCTACTGTATAAACTTCTGATACAATATAATCTAGAACTTCTTTTTTAAATAAATTTGGTATATTTTCAAGTAAAATGACTGCAAAAACAGAAGTAAAACCCCCAGGCTGGTCAGAAGGTATCAAGTTGTCTCAGTTGATTGTTCACAGTCAGTTACTGATCAAAGTCCTTGTTCTATTCTTTCCCCCGTTCTCACTACTGCACTTGCCTAGTCTCAAAAAAAAAAAAAGCAAAACCCCCAAATAACACTTGTATAACTAAGCGATTTCTAATTTGGTCTATGTAAGTTCTTTATGGAAGGTGAGAGTGCCATAAAACAAGAACATGTTTTTACTTTGAGGCAACTCACGTTTCCTTTTGGAATGCTGTCTGTGTGCAAGATTTAAACTCTAATCAAAAAATTTTTTAATGCAAATATCTAAAAAGCACTGAAAACTCAGTGGCTCAGATACTCCAAATTCAGTGTTAATTTATGAATCGAGATACTATATAGAAAATTTCCATCAGATCAGTGGTGCTGATAATTTTTATGAAATTATCAATAACCCATTTACATTGAATACTTAGGTACTTGGAAATTATCCGTATCAAATAATTTTAAGTCAAATTGTGTCTTATAAATGATTTACAGTGAGTGGACAGGGTAAAAATGTTCACTTTTGAAGACTTTAAATTCATTATTTTATTATAAAATGTTAATAACTTTTTTAGAACTTGGCTTTAAAAGTAAGTCCAAAGGGCCGGCCCCGTGGCGCACTTGGGAGGGTGCGGCGCTGGGAGTGCAGTGGCGCTCCCGCCGCGGGTTCGGATCCTATATAGGACTGGCCCAGTGTGCTCACTGGCTGAGCGCGGTGTGGGCGACACCACGCCAGGGGTTGCGATCCCCTTACCGGCCACGAAAAAAAATAATAATAATAATAAAAATAAATAAATAAATAAAAGTAAGTCCAAATTTTTTAGTAATCATAAAAAAATAATTAAAACTTAGTGTCCAAAGTTAAAACTACAAGGCGTCACTGCACACCCTCAGTTAAAATGGCTAAAATGAAAAAAATCCTGGCAAAGATACATAGCAACTGGAACTTTCACACTGTTAGTGGGAATATGGTACAACACATTTGAAAATTTTGCAGTTTCCCAAAAAATTAAATATATTATGTACACTTCAAAAAGTTCATGGAAAGATTTATATTATCTGTTAATTCCATTTTCCATGAACTTTTTGAAGTATCCTCATATGTCTATCAAATGATCCAGTCATTTCACAGCTAGGTATTTACCCAAGAGCATGAAAGCATGTGTCCATATAGTTGTTCACAGTAGCTTTATTTGTGATAGCTGAAAATAGGCAACAACCCAAACACCTACCAACAGGTGAATGGATAAACAGATAGTGGTATAGCCATTCAGTGGAATACTACCCAGCAGTAAAAAGGAATGAGCTACAGAGACATGCAACATGGATGAATTTAAAAGTAATTTTGCTGAGAGAAAGAAGCCAGGCAACAAAATCCATAGTCTAATTAGGGCACACCATTAGAGGTGTACATTCTATGGGTTTGGACAAATACACAATGATGTGTTCACTATTAGAGTATCATCATATAGAATAGTTTCACTGCCCTAAAAATCCTCTGCTCTATTAATCCTCCCTCCTCCCATCCCCTGGCAACCACTGTTGTGGGGTTTTTTTTGTTTTTTGTTTTTGGTGGCTGGCCATATGTGTATATGAACCCTTGACCTTGGTGTTATAATACCATACTCTAACCAACTGAGCTAACCAGCCAACCCTAAATTTGCCATTTTTACCTCTTTTTATTTATTTATTTATTTTTCAGTGGCTAGGCCATACGGGGATCCAAACCTCTGACCTTGGTGTTATAACACCATGCTCTAACCAAGTGAGCTAACTGGCCAGCTCCCACTGTTCTGTTTACTATCTCCACAGTTTTGCCTTTTCCATAGTGTCATATACAGATGGTCCCTGACTTACAATAGTTCGACTTACAAATTTTTCAACTTTACAAAGGTGTACAACCAACAAGCATTCAGTAGAAACTGTACTTTGAGTATACATTACAACCATTCTGTTTTTCACTTCAGTACAGTGTTCTGTACATTACATGAGACACTCAACATTTTGTTATAAAATAGGTTTTGAGTTAGGAGAATTTTGCCCAACTGTAGGCTAATGTAAGTATTCTCAGCACATTTAAGGTAGGTTAGTCTAAGCTATGATGTTCAGTAAGTTAGGTATTAAATACATTTTTGACTTAATGATATTTTCAGCTTACATGGGTTTATTGGGACAAAACCCCATTATAAGTTGAGGAGCATCTGTAGTGGGAATCATACAGTATGTAGCCTTTTCAGAATGGTTTCTTTCATTTAATAATATGCATTTAAGTTTCCTCCATGGCTTTTCATGGCTTCATAGCTCATCTCTTTTTAGCACTGACTAATATTCCATTGTCTGGATGTACCACAGTTTATCCATTCACCTACTGAAGACCATCTTGGTTGCTTCCATGTTTCAGCAGTTATGAATAAAGCTGCTATAAACATTCATGTGAAGGTTTTTGTGTGGACATAAGTTTTCATTTTGTAGATGTTCTATATGAAGTTTAGGAAGTTTCCCCCTATTTCTACTTTGCTGAGACAGTCGATTGATTTTTGAAATGGTGCTAAGACAATCAATGGGGGCAAGAGTAGACTTCAACTATTGGTATTGGAATAAATGTATAGGCACATGGAAAAGAATGAACTCGGACCCCTTACTCACTATGTATAAAAATTAACTCAAAATAGATTAAAGACCTAAATATAAGAGCTAAAACTATAAAACTTTTAGAAGGAAACACAGACAGAAATCTTTATGACCTTGGATTAGGCAATGGTTTAAGCACAGCAACCAAAGAAAAAAATCAATAAACTTGGGGCCGGCCCGTGGCTCACTGGGAGAGTGTGGTGCTGATAACACCAAGGCCACAGGTTCAGATCCCATATAGGGATGGCTGTTTAGGTCAATGGGTGAGCATGGTGCTGACCACACCAAGTAAAGGGTTAAGATCCCCTTACCGGTCATCTTTAAAAAAAAAAGAGAGAGAAGAAAAAACAATAAACTGGATCTCATTAAATTAAAAGCTTTTATATGTCAGAGGACACTGTCAAGAAAAGTGAAAAGACAACCCACAGAATGAGAGAAAATATTTGCAAATTAGATATCTGAGTGTTAGTTCTTGTGGTGGTTGAATAGAACTACTAGAAACATGCAGCATATATTATTCTAAAGCATTCTATTTTATAGGATCTCCTCTATCGAAGATCTAGGTCACTGGTGGATTATGAAAATGCTAATAAAGCACTGGATAAAGCAAGAGCAAAAAATAAAGATGTTCTGCAAGCTGAAACTTCCCAACAGTTATGTTGTCAGAAATTTGAAAAAATATCTGAATCTGCAAAACAAGGTACTGTTATATTAACCTTGAATTACAAGTTATGCTTTATGACTATTACGTAAATTAAAATAGTTAATTCTAATTTCCTTTGTTCACAGAACTAATAGATTTTAAGACAAGAAGAGTTGCTGCATTCCGAAAAAATTTAGTGGAACTGGCAGAGTTAGAACTGAAGCATGCAAAGGTAGTCTCATGTTAAAGATCGAATAATTATATGTAATTTAGAGGTGACTCAGTGGGCCGGCCCCGTGGCTCACTCGGGAGACTGCAGTGCTGGGTGCGCCGAGGCTGTGGGTTCGGATCCTATATAGGGATGGCCGGTACGCTCACTGGTTGAACGTGGTGCGGACCACACTGTGCTGAAGGTTGCGATCCCCTTACTGGTCAAAAAATAAATTAATTAAAATTAAAATTAAAAAAAAGAGATGACTCAGTTATGAAATTGATAATTCTTTAATGACAATTGCCTTCTACAAGAATGCTGTAAGAATTATTCCTGAATTGAAATTATGTTTTCCAAGATTTTTTTTTTTTTTTTTTTTTAAATCCTATATAAAGATGACCGGTAAGGGGATCTTAACCCTTAGCTTGGTGTTGGCAGCACCATGCTCAGCTAGTGAGCAAAGCAGCCATCCCTATATAGGATCCAAACCCATGGCCTTGGTGTTATCAGCACCACACTCTCCTAAGTGAGCCACGGGCCGGCCCCCAAGATTATTTCATTGCTTCAAAATAGTTGGCTTAAGTAAATAAATATCTTCCCTCTGGTCTTTTTTACGATAGTTGTTTACAGTAGTCCTCTCTTGTCCACAGTTTTGTTTTCAGCGATTTCAGTTACCCATGGTCAACTGCGATCCAAAAATATTAAATGGAAAATTGCAGAAACAAACGACTTATAAGTTTTAAAATGCATGTCATCCAGGTAGCATAATGAAATCTCACACCATTTCACTCTATTCCCCCAGAAGGAGAATCATTCCTTTGTCCAGTGTATCCATGTTGTATATGCTACCGCCTGTTAGTCACTTAAAAGCTGGCTCAGTTATCAGATTGACAGTTGTGGTATGTCAGTGCCTGTGTTCATGTAGCCCTTATTTTACTTAATAATGGCCCTAAAACAAAGGAATACTGTGCCTAATTTATAAATTAAACTTTATGATAGGTATGTATGTATAGGAAAAAAACATAGTATTTATATAGGGTTTAGTACTATCTGTGGTTTCAGGCATTCACGGGAGGTCTTGGAACATACACCCTATGGATAAGTACTTCAAATTAAGTCCCTTCTTGTAGATAATGTAAGGATAAACCTAGGCTCAAACTGCATAGTATTTTTTTAATTAATTAATTTATTTATTTATTTATTTATTTATTGTCTTTTTTCGTGTCCGGCAACGGATCGCAACCCTCAGTGTCGCGCCCGTACCGGACCGGGACCGGCAACGGGATCGCAACCCTTGGCGTTGCTCCCACACCTCGCTCAGCCAGTGAGTGGGAACCGGTCTGTATGTGGGATCCGAACCCTCGGCAGGAGCGCCACCGCGCTCCCAAGCAGCGCACTGTAGCAGTGCACCACCGGGCCGGCCCTGCATAGTATTTTTAACAATAAAGAATCTTATAATTGAGAGGGAATTTAAAAATAATTCAGGTAAGAATCCCTAATGGTCAGCTCTGAAAGAATCTAGTACTGTACTTAATATGGAAACTAGTATCATTTTTTGACTAATTGTTTTTTAAAAAAAGCCTTCCTTTATAAAAACATCATTTAAAAATTTATTTAATATTTGCTGTCTTCAGAGAGAACTGAAAATTAAAAATGTATTCAAAATTCCCAAAACCAAAGAAGTATAAAAGAAATTAAATGAACTTTTAAATGCTATTTTGGGTACATTTATAACATTTACACTTCTAAAGGTTTTTTTTTGGGGGGGGGGCTGGCCAGTATGGGTATCTGAACCCTTGACCTTGGTGTTATCAGCACCATGCTATAACCAAATGAGCTAACTGGCCAGCCCCACTTCTAAAGTTGTTAAAGTTTAAAACTGCATAAGAATTTTGGGACTCCCTGTAATGAGCATCTATATCTGGTAACTTTGACCTGTTGGTCTTAGTTTTTGTTATGTGAAATGATAAACATAAGTTTAATTCTTCTTTATAGTTTAGCCCTTCAGATATTTGAATACTTTATATTCCCTTTATATCTTTTCTCCTCCAGGGTAGACATCCTTAAGGCTAAATATTTCTCTTTCCATATACCTCGACAAGCTTTTTATAATATTGTTATCCTCCTGTCATTGCACTTTTTTTATTTGTCTTTTTTGTCTTTTTCCGTGTCCGGCAACGGATCGCAACCCTCAGTGTTGCCCCCGTACCGGACCGGGGACCGGCAACGGGATCGCAACCCTCGGTGTTGCTCCCGTGCCTCACTCAGCCAGTGAGCGGGAACCGGTCTGTATGTGGGATCCGAACCCTCGGGCGGGAGCGCCGCCGCGCTTCCCAAGCGGCGCACTATCCAGTGCGCCACCGGGCCGGCCCGTCATTGCACTTTTAAAATGTTGCACCCTGAAGTGGAAACACTTCCTTTTACAGCATGTTTTATATGTATAAGATAGTTTAGCTGCCATATTGCACCAGCTTGGTTTGGCTTATAATCACATTATAATCATACCTTTTTTTTTCTTTCTTCTTTTTTTTTTTTTAAAAGATGACCGGTAAGGGGATCTTAACCCTTGACTTGGTGTTGTCAGCACCACGCTCAGCCAGTGAGCGAACCGGCCATCCCTATATGGGATCCAAACCCGGGGCCTTGGTGTTATCAGCACCGCACACTCCCGAGTGAGCCACGGGCCGGCCCATACCTTTTTTTTCTTATAAGTCCATTCTTGAACCTCCACCCTGTAGTGTATGTTTAATTATTTTTTAATAATGTTTTTAATTGCAGTAAAAAACATAATACAAAATTTAGCATTTTAACATTTTTAAGTGTTAAGTATATTCATATTGTTGTGCGACAGATCTCCAGAACTTTTCATTTGTTGTTGATTTTTTTAAATGTAATGGCACACTTTGCATTTATGTTTGTTAAATTTTAGGTTACTACTTTTAGCCTAGCTTATCAAGATTTTTTTGAAACTTGCATTCGATTTTATTGTTGTCAATTATCATACTAATTATTTCTCCTAGGTGATGGACATTTGTAATTTGTGTGAACTTACCTTTTATGTCTTCATCGAAGTTTTGATTTGATTTAAAAAAAAAAAAAGGGCTAGCTTGTGGCTCACTTGTGAGAGTGTGGTGCTGATAACACCAAGGCCCCGGGTTCGGATCCCTATATAGGGATGGCCAGTCAGCTCAGTTGGGAGAGTGTGATGCTGACAACACCAAGTCAAAGGTTAAGATCCCCTTACCAGTCATCTTTAAAAATAAATAAGTAAAAATAAAGTAAAATAAAAAAACATTAAAAAGGACCACAGGAACCAACATCTGTTAATATAATTTTAAATATGCAAAAATACCTGGCACCAAAAAAGCCTATATTTTTAGTTCCCTTCTTTTTTATACTAATTGGCAATGATTTATTAATTCATATTCTTTGGTTATAGTTATTCTAATAGTTATGAATTCATCTATTCATAATGTTTATTTCTACATTTAATTTGTGAAAGATATAAGGAGTACCAAATTCATTATCAAAATCAAGATGTTTTGTTGTCTGATTTCCTGGTCTCATAACCCTGTCAAAAGAAAATGTTTTGATAAGCTTGGCATGATTTGCTGAACCTGTGGTGGTTTTTTTTTTTTTTTTTCCTTTTTGTCTTTTTTCGTGACCGGCAACTCATCGCAACCCTCAGTGTTGCTCCCGCACCTCGCTCAGCCAGTGAGCGGCCAGTCTGTATGTGGGATCCGAACCCTCGGCGGGAGCGCCGCCACACTTCCCAAGCAGCGCACTGTAGCAGTGCGCCACTGGGCCGGCCCCTGTGGTGGTTTCTAATGTTCACTGTTTTTGTTTTTTTTAAAGAGGTCAATCCTATACTGGCCAACTGCCAAAAAAATAAATAAAGAGGTCATGAATGCCAAGGTCAAGGGTTCAGATCCCTGTTCCAGCCAGCCACCAAAAAGATTGTGAACTTCCAAGAATTTTGCTAGAAGCCGGCCAGTTAGTTCAGTTGGTTAGAGTGTGGTGCTCACACCAAGGTCTGGGGTTTGATCCCTGTACTGTCCACCAAAAAAGTAAAAACTAAAGAGAATTTTGTTAGAAATCAGGGGTTGGCAAAATACAGCCTGTCTATTTTTGTACAGCCTGTGAGCCAGGAATGGTATTCATATTTTAATTTAATAGAATTTAATTTTTTTGGCTGGCCAGTAAGGGAATCTGAACCCTGATGTTGGTGTTATCAGCACTACAGTATTCATATTTTTAGATGGTTGTAAAATAAAAGAATAGTATTTCATGATGTGATAATTATATAAAATTCAAATTTAAGTATCTATAAATAAAGGTTTTTAGAATACAGCTAAATTTGGGGCCAGCCCGTGGCTCACTTGGGAGAGTGTGGTGCTGATAACACCAAGGCCGCGGGTTCGGATCCCTGTATAGGGATGGCCAGTTGGCTCACTTGGGAGAGCGTGGTGCTGACAACACCAAGTCAAGGGTTAGAGTCCCCTTACCAGTCATGTTTTGCAAAAAAAAAAAAAAAATACATCTAAACTCATTCATTTATGCTTTGTCTATGGCTGTTTTCATATTACTACAGCAGAGTGGAGTAGTTGAAACAGAGACCAAATATCTGTCAAAGCTAAAATATTTACCATTTAGCCTTTTACAGAAAAAGTTTGCTGACTCCTGCTATGATTGATGTCAGCCTCTGATTTCCAGATTTTGTACTTTTGTTTTTTTTTTAAAGATGACCGGTAAGGGGATCTTAGCCCTTGACTTGGTGTTGTCAGCACCACGCTCACCCATAGAGCTAACCAGCCATCCGTATATGGGATCCGAACCTGGGGCCTTGGTGTTATCAGCACCACACTCTTCCAAGTGAGCCATGGGCCGGCCTGGGATTTTGTACTTTTTCAAAGCCTTTCTGAAATGAGATCTCTGTATTCAGATTTCTGATAGCTGTTATTTCTATTCAAGTGATTCTCAACCAGAGGCATTTTTGCCCTCCCCGCCCCCCCCCGCGAACATTTAACAATATCTGGGGACATTTGTGATTGTCACAACTGAGGGGTTGTGGTTATTATCAGTATGTGGTGGACTTAGGCCAGGGATGCTGCTAAACTTCCTACAGTGCACAGGATAGCTCCCCACCCCACAACAAAGGATTATATAGCCCAAAATGTCAGTAGAGCCAAGGTTGAGAAACCTGGAGTCTGAGATTTCTTAATGATTTTATGAATCTGAACAGTCCCATTTTGATTCCAGAATTCACATAAATTGTTCCAAAGACACTAGATGTTAATAAAATTTTCAGTAAGATAGTTTGAAACTACTTTGGATTTCATTTATTATAACTATGTCTTGCCACATAACTGAAATCTGGTTATAACGGAAAACTAGGTAGTTAGGTCACTTTTGTGTCCTTGAAAATAATCTCAGATTCTTTATTAATGAAGTATAAAATGTACAGTAAGGGCAGGAAAAGAGAAAGTGATGAGGCAAACTATCAAGGGTGTGCAGATAGTTATTTCCTATTGGTAAATTGTGGACTAGTATACACCCTTTTGGAGGGCAGTTTAGCAATGTGTCAAAATGCAGAATGTACATCTTTTGGCCCAGCAGTGCCACTTGGGAAATATACCTTTAAGAAGATAATTTCTCAAATATAAAAAGAGAGGCTCACAGTCATTTGTCACAATTCCGTTGTTATACTGGCAAAAAAATTGACAGTAACCTTACCACTTAAAATTTAATTTTTTATTTTATTTTTTACTTAATTTTAGACTTCCAGAAATGTTGCAGGAAGAATACATGTAATTCTTGGATACTCTTCACCCAGATTCTCCAAATGCGCATATTATCATAGTTGCTTTATTCTTTCTCCCTCTCTCTCTCTTCCTCCTGTCCTCCCTCCTCCTCCTCTCTTTACACACACACACACACACACCAATTTTTTTCTTGAATTATTTAAGAGTAAGTTCCAGATACACTGCCTCTTCACTCGTAAACACTTCAGTATGACTAAAACCAAGTAGTTCTCTTGCAAACCCATAGTACCATTAGAAAGATTACTATTGATACAGTGACCTTGTCTAATCCACAGACCTTATTCACCTTCTGCCAAGTGTCCCAATACTGTTCTTAATGGCAAAAGGAAATACAAGATAATGTGTTGCACTTAGTGCACATATCTTTTTAGACTTATTTAATCTGGAAACATTCTCGAGTCTTTGTATTTCATAACACTGACATTTTTGACAAGCACAGGCCTATTTATAGAATGTCCCTCAATTTGGGTTTGTCTGATGTTCCCTAAAGTTTGGGTTTAGGTTATGCACTTTTGGCAGGAATACCATAGAGGTGATGCTCAGATCTTCTCATTGTATCAGACCAGGAGGCCCATGCTGTCAGTTAGTTAGTTGCCTTACTGGCAGTGTTAACTGCAGATTTCTCAGTGGCAAAGTTGCTGATTTACACTTTTCAGAATTAATAAGTGTTCTGTGGGGAGATACTTTGGGACTGTGTAAATATCCCATCACTTAACCACTGCTTTCCAGTAGAACTTCGTGCAACAGTGAAGACATGCTATAATCAGCACAGTCTAATATGGTAGCCACTAGTCATATGTGGCTATCAAACACTTGAAATGTGGGTAGTGCCACTGAGGAACTGAGTTTTTAATTTTATTTAATTTTAATTGAAGTTTAAATTTTAAATAGCTACCCATACTAATAGCTACAGTATTGGCATTGCAGCTCCACACTGATTTTATCATCCATTAATGATTCTTACCTGAATCAGTTATTATTACAATGGTTGCCAAATGTTGATTTTTCTAATTTCATTTTCTTTATGCATCTTAGTTGACTTTCTACTGGAAGGAAGAGCTTTCCATTCACCTCTTTTACATATTAATGTAACAAATTATAATATTAATGTAAAAGGCAATACATTTGTCTTTACATATGTCTCTAAATTGGGATGCAAGTTCACATGTTTTACAAATGGCTGCTTAGGTATGAATTTTATAGAATATTTTTGTATGTAATCTTACTATTTTTATAAAAACCTTAAATCTATGCTAATATATATTGTAATGGCTAAAGGGAAGGAATAAGAACCTATCATACAATCAGAAATTTTTCAGTAGTTAAACTTGGACACAAGGTCATATTTTATCCTCACTAGAACATGTCAGATAATCCAAAACATTAGTATCGGTCTAGATAGAAATTTATCTACTGAAGAATCCGGTATGTGGGAAACATTATTTTTGTGTTGTTTTTAATTAATTAAAAAAAATTTTTTTTCTATTCTACAATGTTGCAGAGCAGTTGTAGGGAGGGAGAGGAGATAGGGTGGAAGGAAGAGGAAGGGGGGTTATGGTCAAGGCCTGTGGCACCCCCCTCATTTCAGCAGGGGAGCCCAGGGGGCTTCCAGCAGCAGTTTGGTTGTGGCTTGGCTGGATGTGGACTTCAGGGGTGTGTGGCTGAGACCCTTGGCTCCCCGCCCAACCCCAGAGCCCAGGGCATTTCCAGATGCAGCCTGGTGGTCATCGCTGCGCTGGATGCAGATGTTAGAGGGATGTGGCTGAGGCCCTTGGCCCCCCACGGAAAACATTGTACATGAAACAAATTATATAATTTTATGTCTTTAAACCTTTATTTGTATATAATGAATGGCTATTTCCAAAATTCTGATATCTTGGGCTGGCTGGTTAGCTCAGTTGGTTAATGTGGTGTTATAACACTAAGGTCAAGGGTTCAGATTCCCATACCAGACGGCTAACAAAAAAATCTTTTTGTGTGTGTGTGCATGTGGCTGGCCGGTGTGCTAAAAAACAAGGGATCTTAACCTTTGACTTGGTGTTGTCAGCACTACGCTCTCCGAAGTGAGCTAACCAGCCATCCCTATGTAGGGATCCGAACCCGTGGCCTTGGTGTTATCAGCACCACACTCTCCCAAGTGAGCCACGGTCAGCCCTATGTATTTTTAATAAAATTCTTCCAAGCTATTTGAACTAAAGAAATTCATAATTTATTTTCCCTTTCTTTTTAGGGTAACCTACAGTTGCTGCAGAACTGTCTGGCAGTGTTAAATGGAGACACATAAGCCACACTCCACCTTCCTGTTAAAAAGGGCTGCCTTCCTTCAAATGTTATTTTTGTTTTCTTAATGATATTAGGCATTTATGCTCACTGGAAACAAACAAAACAACAGCTGACAAAGTGCATCTACTCTTCTTTTTCTGACAAACAATGGAGCGGCACTGTGCACAGGCAATACCAGCCTGTGTGGTGTAACGCTGCACTGTGTTCCTTGGACGTTTGTCCATAATCGTACACTCGTCCTCCTCAGAAATCCAAAGTTCGGTCTTTTTTTAATAATTAGCCTTTGTAACTGTGTTTATTTTATAAATATTATTCCTTATGGCTGCCAATCTCATTTACCTTTAAATAATTTCTGAAGTTGAATTCTTTCAAAATGCATTGTACAAACAAGATAATGATTGCCTTTCTTGAATTTTTTTGTTTTGTTTT